CGAAAATATTTTGCAATGAAATTTTAATTAAAAGTTTGTTTTAAATTTTTTATTCTGATTAATTTTTGCTTCAGAAAGTTTTAATTTAAATTTTCATTAAAAACTAAATTAATTAAATTTAAATTTGGTTTCATTAAAATTAAATTTCGACTGTTAATTTTTTCTTCTAAATTAAAAATAAAATTTTCAATTTTTGATGCTAAAAAATTTTAATTTCAAATTTTACAATAAAAAAAAAATTTAATTTGAAGTTTGTTTTAAATTTTAAATTGTGATTAATTTTTAATTTTAAGTGCCAACAACTTGAGCTATGAAAATTTAATCTTTAATCTAAGGAGTTGGGATTAAAAATTGAATAACTAATATTTAAACCAATTTTTTTTTTTAATAAAAAAATTCGCAACAATACATATCAACGATTTGCTAACCTTTTCGCTGTGTCCAATTTCGTCCGGCTCCGATTTTATGATGGCCTCTGGATGTGGCGCGAAAATGGCGCAAGTCACTGTCGCATTGTGCGCCTTAATGCCCTCCCAAAAGTCACTGCGATCGCGGCGCACCTGAAAAGTTCAAGGAAGTATGGTTATAATTTGCTAATTTGAGTTATGTCATATTTTAAAACTCTAGTATTTTAAATTTTTAAAGTATTAAAAATTTTTGCAGTTGAGTAATCTTGTCGTCTTCTTCCACTACTCACCGAGCTTAGTTTCGAGTAGTCGTGATTTGTTTTCCAAATATATATGCACTGATTTTCCGAACCAGCAATTATATACTTGCCGTCGTGACTGAAGGAGGCCTTGATTTGCGACGACACATTCAGATATCCTTTATATTTGCAGGATAAATTTAAGTCGCGCAAATCATACAAACGCACACGGCTGTCATTGGATGTGACAAGTATCTTGTCTTCGCCCGGCATCGGCTCGATGCCACTTATTTTGCGTCCAATACGATTTTTGCCACGCGTTGAACGCACATGTATCTGTGTGTGATATTTCAGCTGATCTGTGTTGTAGAAAATACAACGTCCATCATACGAGCCGACCACAGCGAATTGGCCATTTTGACAGAAATTCGCCGCCGTAATTAGTTTAGTTTGACCGTCCACTTCGTTCCACAATGCCACCTTCTTGTCTGGTATATTCCACAAGCGCAATTTGCCATCCAAACTGCCGCTTAGGAAATAGCGATCGTCGCGCGGATGAAAAGCAATTGCCGTGACAAAGTCAATATGTTGAAAGCAGCAGAGACACTCCTTACGCGATATATGCCATAAACGTACAGTCTTGTCCATCGAGCTAGACAATATGAAATAGTTCTTCGACCACGACACGTCCAGCAAGTCCGAGGTGTGTCCAATATACGTGCAGAAGGCTTTCGGCATAAATGGGCCCGTGCATTTTTCAGCCGCGGCTGCCATGGCAATCGCCTCCTCCGAATGTTGCGACACAAGCGATTCTTGTGAGGGTGTAGGCGATGACTTCTGATCCGCATTGTATTTGGTACGCATATCCTGTGCAACGATATGAACATGAGCAAATTAAGTATATAAGTCTTACTAACAAAGAAGCGCACTTACTTGGAAGAATGGATAGGCGTCTTTTAATACCCATATACGTAGCACTTTGTCTTGACCAGCGGTAGCTAGCAGACGACCGCAAGAGCTGAATTTCATGCACCAAACAGCACCAGTGTGTTCGCCATACAAGTCCTTCCGAAAAGCAGAGAAAACAAGCTTACTTAACCACACCACTCTGGACCATTCAAGGCGTTACCAACCTGCACATGTTGCAATTTAGTAAATTCATATGGTCCCTTATTCGTAGATGATGCTTTTATTTTGATATTCGCCTCCGGATTCATGACATCCGTTATGTCAGCAACGTCCTCTTTGTGTCGCGCATGTGACACCTCAGAAGCCAGCGATTTAGCCTTATCCACCGTCTTACGCACAGTATAGCCGAGGAAACGTTTAAATCGCGCCGTCTTCTTCTTCAAACGACTGCCATCCTCCGCTTCGCCCTCTTCCTCATCCGGCGGCTGACCCTCACTGCACGGCGGTATACCAATGACGCTCTCCTCATCAGATTCCTTTGGATTCACCTCGAGATGTGACGTCAGTTTCAGTATGTGCAACGACAATGGATTCCAACCTTCGGGTACTGGTGGCGATCGTACCTCCGACAATGTCATATTCTCACCGGTATCTAAATTTTTGACGGGAACCTGTTTGAGTATTTCAAAATCGGTTAATTGTTTGCCAGAACTAGTGCGCGTACGCACATAGATGTTCATCTGCTTGAGAACATCCTCATCGCCAGCAGATTTGCGACGCTCCTTGTCGCTGCTTGCACGGTACACAAGAGAGGGGTATCTGCAAGAAGACAAATCGTCCGACATTAGTGGCGGTATATTTAAATAACAACAACAACAGCAAGAATCAATTTAATAAGCAATCTAAATGAACTTTAGCAAAGTCTAATTGCTCGAGACATTCGATAATATTTTTATATACATGTACAAATATATCTCTTGTGCAGCATAAGTATGTACATTGAAGTGATGAATGAGTTCTGAGCCATAAAAAGTGAAACAAAAACATAATTGAAACACTAACTTGATCTTCAAGTGCCACGGCCCTTTCAACGTGGTCAATTTGTATATAATGAATATGTCAAAGGGATTGCTGTAAGAATTGAAGAATTTACTAAAGTTCATTTAAATCCTTTATATTTTATTAATGGTTAGAAAGCTTTGAATAGCTTGGGCAAATTAATAATGATTTTTAGTGATTATTGAATTGAATCCTTCTTAATTGATATTATCTATGTGATGACTAACTGAGATAGCTTACTGCTCTGCTATGAAAATAATTTGGTAAAAATTATAAAATATAAAAACATCAACAAACTTCCTCATATGTGTTATCTATCTATATATATAAAAGAAAGTTGTGTTAGTTACACCATTTATAACTCAAGAACGGCTGAACCAGGGTAAGGACAGAGGATACTTTTTTTTATCTCTTCATGTCAAAATTTAATACAACTCATAAATGGGTACAATTTTAAAAAGATTCTTCTTCAAAAATAATACAAGTGATAAGTATTTGGAATAGTAGAAAAGAACTGCGACCAAACACGCAGTGAACTGGTTCAGTAGTCAGTTGTTGAGTGTGTTTTATACCACATGCATCCGAAAAGACTGATGTAATAATCTTTCCAGCCGACTTTTTCCATCTTTCCACGACTGAGAACCGGTTCATCCTGTGCAGTCGACTAGAGTGACTGTCGATTGGACCCCAGTGGGAAATGATGGAGCTATGTTTCTATTGTCACACACTGACGCAAAAGTTCGGTTTTATTACTATTAAAGAGCACTCAAACATTTTTCGGCAACAGTTATTCGCTGTTTTTGTTGGATTATGAACTTGCGAGGCACCCACTTTGTACAGAGCTTTCGCCTCTTTAGAACATCATTGTCCTCGGTGCTCATTTCGGAAGTTTCCAGCTTAGCAAATATCATTTCACTGTGGATTTCCCTGAGCCCACATTTTCCCCCAAAATACAATACTTTATTAACCCACGAAAATCTTTATGATAGACTTTTTTGTAAACTAACACAAGTTGCATTACAAAAATGCTATATCTTATTAGTAGTTATCATCCAACTAATCCAAATCATATAGATGGTAGTAGTAGTATTACCTATGTATCAGCCACAGTGAAGTGCGGACGTGTCCTCTAGTTAGTATATAAATGATTGAGTTAACTCAAAAAATATTTATACATTTCCTAATTCCAAAATATATTAATTAAAAATAAATTTTAACCTCAATTAAAATATATATTTTTTTTGAATTTAAAGTAAAAAGTAAAGCAAGTACTAAAAATTAGAAAAGTTCTGTATTTCGTCTTCCATTTTCAACTAAAGCCCGCACGGAGGCATCGTATTCAATTGTCGTGTCTGTTTACATTACAAAAAGTTTTCATAAACGTCAAAATTTTTTCATATGGTCCACAGTTTAATTCACCCAATTTATATTATATTTCTTTTACTATATTGAAGTTATTCATTTGATCATTTCGGTAACTTTAAATTAATTTTAAAAATTAAAAAAAAAAAGAAAAAATCGGTAAATATGTGATATAATTTAATCTAAAAATTTAGATATTCAATCAAGAGTTTATAAGACACCTTAAAGAAATTAAATGGAAATTCTTGAAAATATCGGCTTATAACCTATAAATATGTCATAATGCGTGTTAATTTAACAAACTTAAGTGAAAACAGTTCGCTTGGCATAAAGTGATATGCTGCCGAAATTTAGTAACATCGCTTCAAGCATTTTCATCGTTAGTTTTGTCTTATGGTAGCTATTTTAAGTTTTATAGGTTATGTTAATTAAACTTTGTTTGTATCTGGAATGCACACAAAGCGTTCACAATTAATTCTAATAATGACCATTGATTTTGTATGCAAAATTGTTTATAATTAAAATTTAAAAATATTTAGGCACGTACTTAATGCCTTCAAATGCCAAGAATATCTAATGTTTGTCTGCGAACATTTGGCTAATTTGACTAAGTTTAAATTATTTGGACATTACTTTAATTCTCATAACTTTAAGCAAAATAACTAGTATTACTCCAAAACCGTTGAAATTGCTTACCTTGTGGCACTACCCAAGCTGTTCGAACCTGTGCCAGCCAAAATGGGACGAGCACCGTCATCCATCAGAATTTGTTCGATGCGCTTGATCTCCTCTTGCGTAGGACCCTCAGCTTTATTGCACGCCTCGTCGCGTGGCTTAACGACACAACCACCTTGTGTGGCCTTATATAGATTGAGGCCTTGTGAGGGATCTATAGAACTGTAAATAAAACCAGCAGCATAACTTATTTTAAGGCATAACATTTGTGTAGTTTTTTCATTAATCTTGATTACATACAAGTATCTAACACGTCCAGGCGCAGAATTGCTTTTTGCCGAATTCGATGGACTTGGCTTCGAGTAAACCGATGTAGAACTATTGCCTAGCGAATGTGAGATACGATTTATAGAACCGCCCACAGTGGCTGTAGTGACTGGCCGTGTGTTGCATGTGGAAGTTTGTGCTAGCGATGCAATGGGTGCCGATACGATGCCCGTTGACGTGGCCATAGTCATGCCTGGGCCTAAAGGTATATTGGTAATGCCCATTGCGAGCGCATTCATGCCAATACTGTGTGTTCGGCCTCCAGCTACAGACATATGCAACGCTGAGCTATTTATTGTTGCTGTACCGATCGGTGCCGTGCCAGCATTCGCACTTGCCATCGCATTTTTCTCCTTCCAAGATCGCTCAATTTCCTCGGCAATGTCATCGCGCAACTTCTGTTGTACATCGAGCACACTCTTCACAGAACGTGTATCACTGTCGGTGTCCTCTGTGTCCGGAGCACCGGACGTGTGCATCGCCTCATTCAAACTGTACTGATCCGAGGAACTGGTTGATTTGCGTGACTTTTTCTTGCGCCGCGGTGGCGCAATCGGTCCGCTTGAAGTGATCGAATCTGTTGTTTTTGAATGTGCCAATTTTGTGCTTGCAATCACATCAGGCTCTTGAAGAATTATCTTGCTATCGCCAGCCGGCCTTGTTGCAGCACCTGCTGCAGCACCAATTGTTGTTGTGGATGTTTGGCTATGTGTTGGTGATGGCGATGGTGTCGTATTGTATTTGTTGTTCATGCGTGAGGCATTACTAGCACGAGGTGCCGCTGCTGCAGCAGCAGCTGCCGCAGCCGCAGCATTCTGTTGCTCAACCAAAGCCGCCAAATTATTGCTCGTGGATGGTGCCATAATACCCAAATTTTGCTGTAGCTGTTGCTGCTGTTGTTGTTGCTGTTGCTGCAAATGTTGTAAGTACATTTGTTGTTGCTGTTGCTGTATCTGTTGTTGTTGTTGCAACTGATGTGAATTTGCAGAAGCGGTCGAATATGCAGCTAGCGACTCACGGTCCACGCTCATAGCTGTAATTAGAAAGCTGGAATCCAGTAACTGCGCAAAACAATTAGCGAAACCGACATACCTGACGGATCAATATTTCCTGCTAGTATGCGACCAACACGACCCAATGAGGTCATACTTTGTATGCTCATGGTATCGTTCTCTATCACCTTGAACGGATGCGTCGTGCGATTCGTAAATACGCCATCTGTGGAACTATTCTGTATTTGAAATGAATATATGGAATTATACACAATTACCGTTCATTACTGAAATTAGTTCTTCTGCAGAATATGAGGTTTGTAAAAAGATTTGACTTGACATTAAAGCATATTTTTGATATTATGTAACATTGCTAAGTTAAGTTGGTATTAAAAATTAATTGTCTTAAAACACAAACCTCATATGAAATACATGTATGAAATTGATTAGAAAGTTATGCTAAATTAGTGATATAAATAGTTAATATTGCATCGGTACAAGTAAGTGTGTGATTATTCATAACTAAGTTATTAGATTTGGATAATAATAAATAAATAAAGTAATTGAAAGTAAAAACAGTTTGTGATAATACCTGAGAATCAGGTGTGAGTGTGTTTCCAGGATTATCATCTTCATCATTTTGCATGCATTGACGCAATTCGTGAAAGCGCTGCCTACCAAACTACGTTACGAATTTGGTCATTGTTGTTTTGTTTGTAAGATGATTTCGAAAGAGGATATGAAAATAAAAATAGAAATCGTAAATAAAATTATAACACAATAACTGAATAAAAAATATCTACAATCAACCAGCGAACAAAGGAACAAATTAACAAGGAATTAAAGTTATATTTATATCTAGTGATTTCACTGATTGCGACCAAAAAACATACTTTAAAATAAAACATAAATATTTAATTACGCACAGTTATTACGTGAGCATATTATATTTAAACGCATTTCTTAAACAAATTTTCAGTTTTGTGCAACAATGACAATTAACACTAACAAATATTTGCATTGCGATCGTAAACAATCCTTTCACATTAACTTTGGTTGTATATATAATACATAAATACACTTCACAAACAAAAAATTCCACACAAAAAATTGCTTTTGATCTGGACTGGATTTTGATGATGGGATTATATGGCAGATATATGTTACAGTGGTCCGATATCAACGGACAATTTTTCAGAATGATATTTCAAAAACTTAGCCCTCGCGTAACTACAGACGTTTAGTTAGTTGTTGTTATCTAATCCTAAAAGCTTTTTATATTCCAACAACTCAGCGCTCCTTTTTGTCATTATTTTCTATATAAAATAATTTTGATTAATCAAGCGTTTTAAGTAAATAGTTGAAATATATTAACACTTTTGTATACATAGGCATAAAAATTTATCTTATCTAATGCGAGTTCAAGTATGTAAACGAAAACGTAGCCATGACATAATTGCACTCACTAAATGATAGGAATTTTTTTTAGTCTCACCCGGCGTCATTACGTTTATTGTTGGTATACAATACAAAAAAAACGTCGAATGGTTTGGGCGTTAAATGAGGGTATTCGATTTTAAACGAACTTTTAATTTTAACGTTTATATGCAGCTTGTAAACACCTGCTGCTATATTACACAAAGAAAGTTGCCTTACTTCTATGCTAATTTATTTTTATTATCACGAACAGTTGACTGACGACAGCCGTATAAAAATGGCACCAATTAGTTATAAAACAAATCAAAGTAATGGGTGAAATAACAAAACTTAATTTATGTAAGGCCCATCGCAAGTACCCGAATATGGTTTTGAAAGTGAAATCGGAAGCACTTCAATAATTAATTTATATACTGGTTGTGCTTAGTCAATGAACTTACAAGTCCCTTACATCTTCTATTTATAATAATTTTAGTAAAAAATAAATATAAATATATTTAACCAACTAGTAAATTTACAAACGAACTGCCAAACATAAACAATTGCATGCAAATAACAACATTAACGAGAGACAACAACTTAAAAGAAATTTCTATTTCGGATAAGTCAATTGTCAATTAAATGTAATTTCTTACCAATACGGGCTTAGGTTCGACAAACATGTCTTGCTTGGGACCGCGCACTCCCAAGCTGAGACTGCTTGTCGGACTGCTGGTGGCTGGTGTTACGCCGCCTATTGGAGTTGCATCGCTGTCTGATGAAGGGTTCACACGCACAGCAGGTTCTGGAAATATAAATCCGTCCTGCGCTTGTGCGCCGTCTAGTGATATCTTGCATTTGCGACTGCGAGAAATAATATACCATTTAGCATGTCAATATTAAGTTGATCAAAAGAAATTTTTAATGTTTGATTTCATGTGAAAGGGTCTTTTGTTATCAAACATCTTAAAACCCGTAATATACAAACCTTAATGTCGATAGACGATTTGGCGTTGAATCCTCCGCGTCGAAAAACTCCTCAGAACTATCCGAATCAGTTTCTGGCTTACTCATTATATTAGTTCACTTTTCCAAACTGGTTAGCACTCATAAAAAGCTTTGATTATATCTAGCAATCTTGTTTCATATATTCAACACGCATAAAATTTCAATTTTTACGTCATTACTAAAATTTTAATTTCATTGCAACCTCACATCTAGCTAACTTTAACTTAGCCTGGTAGAGAATATACAATTTTTAACACATTTCTATACAGTTCACGTTTAGTTTATTGTTTAGAGGCAGAGCTATTAGTTATTTAATTGGTATGCACAAGAGATTAATTAGATTTTTTAGAAAACTATGCACAACTGCAAATTTAGACTCAAACAATAGAGAAAATGAAAGGGAGTGACGGCTATTAAATGACACATATTTGAGCAGTTACTGTGAATGGTTTTGCATGGAGTAGAAGAAGCAAAGAATGACGTGAGCAAAACAAATGTAAAAAACACACAACTCTATCAGAGTTACCTGTGTTTGATGGAAAAAATTGTTTGAGAGATTTTAATAATTTTTGTTTATTTTCTAAACTCTTTTTTATCGACTTTCATAAACTTTTATCATATCACCTTAAGTTGATTGGGCGCTAAGAAGTTAAATAAAATGAACAAAGATTTAACACATTGCAAAATAATGAAACTGATATAACAATTCCAGGCCATTAAGATTACCTGTTAACCCTTAACCAAAATCTACACAGCTGTTTTTGACATTTGCGGCATTTACTAGAACGGCTGGCGTCCAAATTTTCATGTTGTTTGCCAATCTCTATTTGCTTCTTTAAACGCGTGTTTATTTCTAAAAAATTATATTAGTTTATATTAAATTTACACTATGATGTCCCAACGTAATGATGATAGAGTACCGGCAGAAGAAAGCGACCTTCTTCAAATTAAGCCCCTGTAAGTAAACAAAAAAAAATATGAACCAACTATGATGCAACTGTAATCATATTTTTATTTTAGTGGGGCCGGTCAAGAAGTTGGAAGATCTTGTATAATGCTTGATTTTAAGGGAAAGAAAATCATGGTATGTATGGCAAAATATTTTTATTCAAACATAAACAATAATACAATTGTAAATTATATAGCTTGATTGTGGGATACACCCGGGTCTATCCGGTATGGATGCATTGCCATATGTAGACTTGATAGAAGCTGATGAAGTTGATCTCCTCTTTATATCGCAGTAAGTAACATAAATAACTAATATAAAAAATCACTCACATACAACTAATTGTTGTTACAATACGTATAGTTTTCACTTGGATCACTGCGGTGCACTGCCATGGTTTCTAATGAAGACCAGTTTTCGTGGGCGATGTTTTATGACACACGCCACGAAAGCTATATACCGTTGGATGTTATCGGATTATATAAAGATTAGTAACATTTCTACAGAGCAAATGCTCTACACTGAAGCCGATTTGGAGGCGTCTATGGAAAAAATAGAAACTATAAATTTCCACGAAGAACGTGACGTTATGGGTGTACGCTTTTGTGCTTACAATGCAGGACATGTCCTCGGAGCTGCTATGTTTCTAATTGAAATTGCCGGCGTGAAAATACTTTACACAGGCGACTTTTCTAGACAAGAAGATCGGCATTTAATGGCGGCCGAGATACCACCAGTTAAACCCGACGTCCTCATAACGGAATCAACTTATGGTACACATATTCATGAAAAGCGCGAAGATCGCGAGAACAGATTTACATCATTGGTGCAAAAAACGGTACAGCAGGGTGGGCGTTGCTTGATACCGGTCTTTGCTTTGGGGCGTGCTCAAGAGTTGCTTCTTATATTAGATGAATATTGGTCACAGAATCCTGAACTGCACGAAATACCCATTTACTATGCGTCATCGTTGGCTAAGAAATGCATGGCTGTATATCAAACATATATTAATGCCATGAATGACAAGATACGACGCCAAATCGCTGTGAATAATCCATTTGTGTTTCGACACATTTCAAATCTAAAAGGCATAGATCATTTTGACGACATTGGCCCCTGTGTTGTGATGGCCTCACCAGGTATGATGCAAAGCGGTTTATCGCGAGAATTATTCGAAAATTGGTGCACAGATCCGAAAAATGGTGTCATTATTGCTGGATACTGTGTTGAGGGCACATTGGCTAAAACCATACTGTCTGAACCAGAAGAAATTACGACTTTAGCGGGACAAAAGTTGCCATTAAATATGTCTGTGGATTATATTTCATTTTCTGCACATACTGACTACCAGCAAACCAGCGAATTTATACGGCTGCTAAAACCTCAACATGTGGTAAATTTACTTTACGCTTATTTTTATAAGTTTTGTCTAGTATTAAATATCTCAATCGTATAGGTTTTGGTTCATGGTGAACAGAACGAAATGTCCCGTCTTAAAATGGCACTGCAGCGTGAATATGAAGCTGATACTACCACAAACATCAAATTCTACAATCCCCGAAACACACATTCCGTAGAGCTATACTTCCGTGGCGAAAAAACCGCCAAAGTAATGGGTAATTTAGCGGCTACAAAACCAGAAGTTGGTAATAAATTGTCTGGAGTCCTAGTGAAACGCGACTTCAAATACCATCTGCTTGCAGCTTCTGATTTGTCGAGTAAGTTATCTGTTAAATACATTGACAATATTTGTATTAATATAATTATTTTCAGAATACACCGACATGAGTATGTCGGTTGTAACACAGCGACAATCCATACCCTGGAATAGTTCGTTAAGCACCTTAAAGTTACTGCTGGATCGAATTGGTGGTGCCGGCACGACGGAACTACTAGAGGAAGAAAAACGTATTCGCGCATTTAAGTGCATCGACTTATCGGTGGAGGGCAAAATAATTATAATGGAGTGGCAGGCAACGCCCGTTAACGATATGTTCGCCGACTCTGTACTCGCTTGCATAATGCAAACTGAAATGGGTGGTACTAACATTAAGGGCACCACGGCTATAGCCAAATCGGATCGCACACATTTTAATGAATGTTTAGTCGAAACACTGCAGGATACATTTGGCGAGCATTCAGTACCAAAGATGTTTAAAGGCGATGTTTTGCCCGTTACAGTGGCCGGAAAGCGAGCCGAAGTGAATTTGGAAACACTGGTTAGTTAAATAATATGCCCAAATTTATATATTTGTTAACATTAATTTTATTTTTAGCAAGTGCATTGTCCGGAAGATGAAAGTTTGCGACAAATTGTTAATACGGCAGTACAAAAACTACATCAAGCCTTGGTCACCCTGCCATAAACTACAATAAATATTTATACAAAATTATTTTTATAAACGAATGTTAAATTTTTTATTGTGTCTGAAAAAACCAAGTATACATTACATTGGTACCTATTATTAAATTGGAAATAGTTAAGTCATATGTAATCCAGTTTTTCATTTATATAGTGAATATATTGGAAATTAACGCTGTGTGCTCTTTGCGATCTGCTCCTTGAGTACCAAAATACTGGCGCGTTGCTCCGGTGGTAATTGCGAAATCTGCTCATCAGATAGTTGTAACACTTGCATAATAAGAGCGGCTTTTTCCTGATCCGTTGCATCGTTTGGTATGCCACAATTCGAAGCTAAACGATTTTGGAGCTGCTGCTGAGCTGTTTGTTGTTGTTGTGACATAGTGGGACCTGGTATGCCCGGTGGGCCACCTGCGTTTCCACGAAGTCGAGGGTCGATTTGTCGCTGTCGAGGATCCGTTGGGAAAGACGGTTGTGGATTGACCTGTTGTGGTGGCATCTGCCGCTGTGCACGTGGATCCATGTGTGGTGGCGGTACGGGATTCGGTATAGCGCGCATATCTTGATCAATATTTCGTGCCATGCGCGGATCCATTTGCCTTGGATCCATGTTGCTGGGTCCACCTAAACCAGAACCACTCATAGCGCGTAAATCAATATCACCACCTTGCATTACATTGAAATTCGGACCGGGTACGGGCATTGGGGGTCCTCCAACTATTGGCGGCGGCTGTGTTGGTTGTGGCTGTGATTGTTGCAAAATATTTGATGATATACTTTGCGATTGTACACTCCCAGACAACGGATTTCCACCAAGTACAGGGGGCATTTGATTTGCTTTGAACAGCATCCCCTACAAAAGTGAAAAGTAAGATGTCTTACTTATATGTACATTCACATCTATAAACGTATGCTTACCAATGCTGCTTGTGGGTCAACGATGCGCATTACAACCATTGATTGCAACAAAGCATATGCAAGTTGTGGATTTAACATCAACATTTGACGGGATTCTGAAGGATTGTTTTGTATACAAAGCTTCATATGCTTCATCAACTCATACATTTGCTCTGGTGGCAAAGATGCCACTGTCTTTGTGATAATTTCTGGTGCCTGATCTGGATCACAATGTTCGCCATAGGGATTCTCAATTTGTGGACCTTGCAGCAGCTGTTGCATTTCCATACGAGACTTTTCAGTACAAGCGTTGTCTACACGTAGTGTACGACCACCGATTTCATAACCATTTAGATTACGCATTGCGCTAAGTGCCGTTTCTTGATCTTTGTATTCACAAAACCCAAAACCTTTAGGCTTTCCACTTTCACGATCAAATACTAGCCTATAAATGCAATATTATCAGTTTCATAAATTCATAATCAGGATAAGGGTTTTATGCTTACTTGAGAGAGAGGACCGGTCCCACTTCACTAAAAATCTCCTTAAGTTTCTCCTCTGTTGCTTCATATGGAATATTGCCCACTATTCAAGAAATGTAATTAATATAGTGTGTACTTTACCTTTACTTTAAACATAGAGAACACATAAAAACTTACCGAAAACGGATCTCATGGACTTATCCATAATACTTTGTTCGGAATTTTTATCCGCCATATTTACGTTTGTTTTTAAGTTTCTAGAGTTCTTTAAAATTTAAATTCGCACTTTCACCTTTTTAAAACTTTTTCTTTATAAAAGTTCAAGCAATATATAGATATTTTAAAATTTAGTATTTTTTCTATATATCAGCGGCAAATCACACAGCTGAAAACGACTCACGTTGACAACAAATACAGGGCTGCATTAAGTGTGGTATGTTTAATGTGCACCTAAATAATAATTAATTAAACATATTTTAAGATAATATTAACAAAATTATTTTTTGTTGCGAAATTTGAATATAAATTTATTAATTAAACAAGTATCAAGAATAAACAATAAAAAAAAAAAAATTATAAATAAGGAAAAACTTGTCAAATGACTTCGCTCGAATATATTTAGCTCATATAAATGATTCTTTAAATTTAATATTTGCTACAAAACTAAAAATATTGCTTATTTAAAATAGGATGTATAAAATCAAATATAGTTTTTGTTAAGTGTTATAATTTTTAATCGTTGAACATTTGCTATGACTTGAATACTCGAACATAGCTTTAAATTGTCTATTCGAGAGCACTCTGTGTCGGCCATTGTCAAAATATGTACTCTATTACTACACAATATCTAGACGTTGTCGTAATTTTTCATTTCGGTGCAGAATATTTTCAACTGAATTAAAGTTAATTTTAGTGTTTGGAAATATGCAAAAATAGTGAAAAACACAGCACAAACCAGTGTAGTAATGATTTCAACTGAAATATGTAGATTATAACCAAGATTAGACCTGAAATTCGCATGTAAAAATTCTTTTGTGTGACTTATACGAACGGGTCTCCGTCGGACGGCCTCGCAATCGCATACACAAGCAGCAGTTGAAACATTCGCATTACATGCTTTGGAAGGAGTGTATGGGACTATATGTAAAAAAGAAATAAAAAATTGTGTCATTGAACGTCTGTGAGTGACAGGAACGAACTCTAATAAGGAGGAGCTAAGGCAGAACTCAAGGATCAGCACCTCATATCGACTGCGGTTTAAGGTCGATACCAGCACCAGCACAGTAGTAACAACACACAAACAAGTTAACTTGGACGCAATAACTGGGGTCATAACAATTGGTAACTTTTTTTAGTTAAAACAATGAGAACAAGAAATACCATTCCATATCTTTCTGCAGTATCATAAGTGCGTGAGTGAAGAACGGTGAAATAAAATTCAATTATCTCTGTTGCTTTCGCTACGTTCCATAACTATATAAAAGTAAAAATGCGTTATTTCCGTTCCATACAATTTGTCGCCATCCCAGTTTGACCATACTCAGTGTACTCGTTCGAAAGACATTTGCAATGGGAACATTGCTTTGTTTAATTATGTGAACACCCCTTGAAAACTATGAACAAATTTGTATAGTGATATAAAAAGTAAAAAAAAAAAAGCAAGAGAATATACTGTGTTGTAACTCTGTGTATGTGTGCTGAAAATTATTAAAAAACAAAAAAAAAAAATATATATCTTTAAAAAACATATGCACATAATTATCTACATATGCAAAAAGCAAACCACTAAAAAGGGCAAACAACTGAGTGTGGAAGTCATTGAAAACGATCACTCTTACAAGCGGTGGGAGGTGAAGCAAAAACACTAACAGAAAGTGTAGCATACATGTTCACAACACTGGAAGTGGTAATGGTAAGCTTTCGTGGAGTTAACCAGTTAAACATCAGATATATACATATAAGCGAACATATTTATATTCGAATTTTTGGTTAATTTACAATGAGATCTCTGCATGCTTATTTATAGGCACGTGTTAATAATTTATTATGAAAATTAGTTCTAATAGAATTCGAATTTCTTGTAATTTTTTGTGTCTATGTTCTGTAAATAATTGTATGCGTATTGGTTCTACTTTACGCATCGTGTGGATTCGCAGATGATGAATTGAGTGGGAGATGTACTCCTTGATTTTTTTTATGAAAAATCAATAAGGGTAGTATCTCAAACTCATTACTCTTTACACCGTATTTTTTACGACCAAATAGCTGTGCCAAGATTATCCAAGATTCGCTTACTTATTATTCACTTAATCGTGTGTGTTTGCCTTTGTTAACATACCTATTGGAATATGTATAAATAATTTTTTTACATTAAGAGTAGCACGAATTATTAAATTATTTGTTAGGAAGTATTATTTCTCGACATTTCTTATATCAGAATCTGACTGTTCCGTTTGCTTCTCATATTTTCTTGTTCTCCCGGCACACCATTTAGCTGTATCGCCTTCCATTTCATCTGTGTATAATTCCATTGGTACATTTCGCCTCTTTGTTGTGTGTACTTCACATTTTGTGCTTGTATTATTATTATTCGCCACACCATGTCAGAGCTACTTCATTTGAAAATATCTACATATCTATATACCTATTAAAGTATATAAAAATTTGTATTTGTACATATGTAGGTATATTCATACACATTGTTGAACATGTATTTCAAGCTTTAAATGTTTAACTTTGTTTTTGTTTTTATCTGATACTTTGTTGTTCGTTTGCTTATTCCTCTTGTTCATTTAGTTCCTTAATCACAGTGTCTGCATGTGTTCGTTTGCTTTTGCCGTCATTATTATCGTCTGCTGCACCCCATACGGAATACATACATACATATATAAATTGATCGCTGAAGATGCGCATAGTAAAAACAATAACAACAATATAATAATGCTCAACCAGTGCTCCGCCTGTATTCACATGTCCGTATGAATATGTGTCTCATTACCTTCTGTTAAAGTTGTGTGTGTGTGTAAGTATAACCTGTGTGCTTCAATGTGCGCTTCACGATATATGTAGATTGAGTTCTCTTTCCTGCCCCATGCTTTGCTTTTTTCTCGTCACCAGAGAAATATGCATTTACACTTTGAAAAAATGAATGCTTATCGACTTTGTATTTAAGGCACTTTATTGTCATTTTCCTCCTGGCAAACGCCTTTACTCATATTTAACTTACACATAGCTCTCATAATTGTTTTTACAAACGTTCCTATTGATATATGTATATATACTCCACATAGTATATAATTTCTTGGTTTAATAAACAGTACAAACTCATGTACATTTGTGTATACATATACTATGTGTATGTACATACATAATCGCATTGCCTTCTCATCTTATGTTCGTGTGATCGTTTTCATAAATCGTTTTTCCTTTGATATCTGCTCTGATCAGAGGATACGATTACGAGAACTCCTTTCGTCACATTTTTACCACTTATCATCGAATCGATTTAGCCTTTCAGCTACAACATTTATAATTTTGTGCTTATTTTATGTGCGAAGGTATGATGATTTTAGTAAGCGGTTACTCGTGTGATAAACGCCATACAGGGTAATTTAAATATAGTCGATTAGGTATTCAATTTGAAGGTCATACTCGAATAACGACCCCAATCGTTGTTTATTTTATTAATTCATATTTTATTGAGTCGGCAACAAGCATATGAGAAATGACATACCTACAAGTGCTGTATTGAGTTTTGGTAACAAAGAGTAAGAATCTCTGTTCTTGAATAAAACTTCAAATTTAGTTTGTGGGAATTGTAGATACGTAAATTTACCCTACGTGGAAAATAGTATATACGTAACAACATACAATGAACAGCTGAGTGTAGTCTAATAGTATGAAAATTTTAAAATACTTTATACCTTCATATATTTTGAACTTTTAAGTCTACGACAAGAGAACAGACCCTTTGGTGATAGAATTAATTAATTGTAAGAAGTTGTTAAGAAAAGGTATACATTTTAAAGGTTAGCAAGATGAAACCGTCTGAGATCTGTATATACGTGAACTAGTGCCTAAGTTTTTGAGATCCCGTTCTGAAATTTTTCCCATGTCCTTTTTACACCAAAAGATGGGCATTTTTACCAATCGCCGTTGCCAGGCATTTATAGTAACAACATGCACTAAAGAAAAAAAGCTGTTTAAACGCAGTTGTGTTTCATTTGAGAGTGTAAATAAATTTTGGGAATAATGCTTACACTTTTATTAAAAATATGTATAGTATGGTGCTTATTATTTTTCATTGGGTATATTTGTTATTGAGTGCCACCTTTACGAAAATTAATATTTAACATTCTCTTTTATCATTCTAACAAAGAAGTATTTATTTATTTCCCGCAATACTTTAGACAGAAATTTTAACAAAAATTTTTCAATGTATTCAATATATTTTCTAGATTGATGAATCCTCGCTTAATTTAATGATGTTCTAACGAAGATGGCTCAAGAAGGAACTGAACCGATTTTATGATTTCAAGCCATACCTGTCTTGAAGTAATTACTGCAATAGCATTATCATATTAAACCCAATACATACAACGATCACGAAGCGTAGAAATAAAAACACACAAAATGGGGGAAAACGTACAGTGTCCGGTGTGCACACTGTTCCTGCATGCTGGCATGAATCTCTCAGATCATTTGGAGACACATCCTAAAGAGCAAGTGATTAAGGCACTTGTGCAAATGACCATTTCGGGGAGTGTTGGTAGCGCTGCTAGCTCTGCACTGGCCGCGTCTTTAAGTGGCGGTAGCCCACCCAAAGCAGATCCGGATGAAAAGCCAATTCCCGCCGCGATATCAACTGATTCAGATGCAACCAGCAATTCGGCGACGAGTGGCACATCCAATTTTGCCGTTAATGACACAGCTCAAATTAGCAGTCAGAGTTTTGCAAATGCGTTTTGTGGCATATCGGCAATAAATAAACCATCGACTTCAACTGCAAGCGCTCCTTCTACATCAGCGCCGTTAAGAGCGTCAGTTGATGTAGCGGCAAATGCAAACAATAAGAAGTTAGAGAATAAAAGGGAGTTCAAAACTGACGCCGGTAGTCTAAGCGATAAAGTTCCAGTATCTGTCACAACGGCAGTGCCTGCCAACGGTATTGGGCAATTGCAGTTACCCGGCCAATTTGATGATTATGCTGCTAATAGATACCACCAAATGCAACAAAAACAATTAGCAACCAGTCAATTAGAGCAGCGACAACAACAACAACAACAGCAAAAGAATCAACTGCAAAAACCAAAACCACAAATGGATAGTGCAAGTGCACACATAGAAATTGCACAACAGCGCAATATTTTGCCACCACCACCTCCACCAATGGCAGCAATGCCA